TATTATTAGTTATTATATATATTATTATTATATATATATATATATAATAATATATAATAGTATATATAATAATATATATATATATATATGTTTTTATATATATATATATATATATAGTGTGTGTGTGTGTGTGTGTGTGTGTGTGTGTGTGTGTGTGTGTGTGTGTGTGTGTGTGTGTGTGTGTGTGTGTAAATCACTAGCAGTGTGATAAACTAATAAAATTTAGGAAACCATATTTTCTTAATATTACACAATGTTTCATTTTACTTCTCCAATTGCTTGAACTTGTTTAATATAAATATTTTTTATTTCACATTTCTCAACTGAAAAGTCACAAAACTGCTGTAAAGTCAACGAACTCAGATATTCTTTGAATGTCTTAAGCATACCTTACTTCAGAGCTGTACTGTTGCTAAGCCAAGTTGTACTACAAGCTAATTCTGGGTTCTTATTCATTTGTGAAAATAAACGTAACATTCTAATATACATTCTACAATACTAATAAAGTATAAAGCAAAAGTAAAAAACTAGAACACACTATGAATTATTTAAAAAGCTTTTGTGGTGTGACTGATTCTTCACACCAAAACCTCCACCAGTTTTACATGATATCCAAGGCCAACAGCTATTTACACTGTTTTTATATTTACACCATTATATTCCTCGTAAACAGAGCTTCAAAACAAAGGTGCTGTTAGCAATTTGGCCAGTCCAGACATCTTTTTCGATACTAGAGATTACTGAAGGCCATATGAACACATTTTAAATAAAATTGCATAAGATTATCATGTTTATTGTCATTCTTCATACTTTCTTAACTTTGGAATGGGGAGGCAGGGGTACAGGCTCAGGGTTTTTGCCCCAAAATGGCTAGACCACTTCAATTTTGGCAATGACAGTCCCATCATGTGGATAGCAGATAACAAAGTAGATGGCCCATTTTATAAAAAAATGTATGAAGCATACTAAAAGTGTTGGGTTGAAAAAATCTCAGCTTCTACAAGTCAGAAAAAGTCCAAAAAAATTGGAATACAATGTTCTCTTCTAGTACTGATAAAGTCTGAAATGCAGGGATCATAAGCAAATTAAAAGAAATAAAAATTATTCATAGTTCATATATGATAGTTTTAAAAAACGTTTGACAGGTTTTTCAGAATTTACTGATAAAATGAACTCTAAACACATTATATCTATATATATGCTCACCCATGATTCCAAGGTCATAGCGCCCAGTCTTCTTTGCCTGTGAGATAACTTCTTCTAGAGTGTCGGTGAAATATTTGAACACTTTATTCTGTAGTTTAACTTCCATTCCTAAAATCCTGTTCAAGAACTTGCTCATGTTATAGGCATCTGAAATAGAAGAAATGCAAACAACAAATAATAATAAACAAATAACAGTCTCTTCAGTACAAATGGGACAATGCTAATGTGTGTCTATATATCAAAATAACTGTATATCACATTTCATAATAGATTGTATAAAACTTCTTGTTAAATGATTTATGATGTGAACACCTTTTTATTGTTCATAATTAACTTCACATAAAAAATATAATTTTTAAATAGTTCTTCCACATCCACTACAGACTAAGATATAAACAACAAACATTTCTTCTTTTATTCTACACTCAGTTTTTAATTTAAACAAATAACATTAATAATGTATAGCTTACAATTACAATATAAAACATACTGCACAACATGTTTGCACACTAATACCCAGGTATTCTGAATTTTTCCCTTGTGAATCTACTAGGCTTATATTTCTTAAAAACATGAAATTCATTGCTAAGCAGTCTTTTAGTTTATACTTTGAGGATCATATTTTTCTGTCACTATTTTTAAACTCAATTACTCATGGAAATTTTTGTGCTGTGTATTGTTTCAAGAAAGTTGCTAAGCACATACAAATTCAGTGGTACCCTAATTGAAGGTATCTTACTTTTCTGCATCCAGCTATGATTTATTCATGATTGCACTACTTTTTTTTACAGGCAATTGACATGCAGTACAAGGTTTTAGAAGTTTGTTAATTGGTTTGTGATACAATGAACTGTAAAACTACCAAGATCGTGGATCTGTTTTTAGCATACAGCAAACAATCAAAGGGTTTATGCTATTAAAATAGAAAGTTCTATGCAATATTACCTTTCTCGAGATTCTGATACCCTAAATAAGGGTCTTCAGTAGCAAGTCCAACTCCTACAAGAGCTTTTCTGACATCTATATTAATAAAATATACATTAAGTAACTATCAAATATTAGCTTTGTCCAAAATGTTTCTGCTACCTATAACACACTAGTGGCTAATAAACTACACTGCAAATGAGAAAACCAATTTACTATTGCATCTTAAATGTTTGAAAATTATCAAAGCAATGAAAAATTATTAGTTACAGTTGTTTATTCAAAAAAAAGGGAAACAAACCTAACTGAAAAATTGTTCAGAATGACAGTTCTCATTTTTACTAATGCTCTGCTTAGTACATTCTACAAAATCATTTTAAAGTACTGACAAAAAGCTAATCCCAAGCTGATTATTTAAAGAAACTAATTTACAGAGAGTGTTTCAATGCTAATAAATCAAAAGATCTAAGTCTCTAACTGATCTTCTTTTGATGCTTAAAATATAGTTTTTGAAGTAAAATGGGTTGAAATAGACAAATGGCTATCATTAAGGACCTTCACCTCATTTTTCTCATTCTTATAAATCAGACATTTCACTCCACAAATATATTTTGTCTTTCCTCAATTTATTTTCCACAATACTATAAATCCTTGTGGAATACTTTGAGTTTACTCACTTTAGTTTCTTTCAACCTGTTTCTGCCTGTAGAAAGTAGCAACACATGACCTTGTTTCAAAATCATAATTTCAACACCTCATTCACAGTTAACATCTTATTTTCTTATTAGTCTCTTGTTTTGTGATGTGTGACCTTTCAAAGCACAAATATTGTGCTTCATGTGAGAACAATTTCATTACAGCTTGAGTGAAACAACAAACTTTCTCTATCTGGTACTTAGAACTGTAAGACTTTAAGAAAACCAACTTTTCTGATAATGCTAGTACATATGGCTGCTATTTATGCTTAAGTTTCATTATCTACTACCTGCTAGCCTTCATGTTTAATTATATTTCAAGATGTTAAAAACTCGTTTATTCACAATAACACAGAATCTCTCCTTTTTTACATGACTTAATATCAATATCATTTATTTTAAAATGTCACTAACAATAACTGGCATGATCTTGTTCTTTACAAGTTCATTTAAGTATTTGGTCATTTTATATTAAGTTATATTATACATTTCAAATAAGACAGAAGTAACCCACCAGCAAAGAAGTCTCCTTCATAATCCTCAGGTGGTGGTACTTGTGGAATTTCCATTTGCATTATAGCTCTCATCATAGATTCTAAAGCTGCCCTTCCATACTAAAAAACAAAAACCACTCTGAGATCACTACAAATAACAAAAAAATTTTTACAGAGCTAATGTGCTAAATACAACCTTTCATAAAACAAATTTCTTATAAATTTGTAATCAATAAGCAAAAAAAAAAAATTTTCATGAAACAAACAGGAAAGGGAGAGATGCTCATAAAAAAGCAAATTAGATGATCATGAGATTGTACAATGAATAATAACTAGGAAAGGTATAATTATGCTCATGAGAGTAAGATATTGGTAGATGCTCACAAAGCTGAATAAAACCGATACCATTGTGGAAAAGAGATATATATGCTTGCGAGATTAACCCTTTTGCAACAGGCTTGGTATTAAAAACACAAGTTTGTATACACATTTGCACACGCTAAGTATTTGTACTATAACTTTTAACGCTGTATGTGCATCTTCACAAAATTTGGTAGACTTTCAGTAATGATTCCAAGTCTTTTGTACACACACACAAAAAAATTTTTTTAATGGAGTATTTTTACAAAAGATTTGTTTGTGAAAATATAGAGTCTGTTTAGTTACTAGTCTGAGTGCAAATTGATTTTCATGTTATGATTAAAACCTACTCTTCATCCCCAAATCTCAAATATCTCTAAAACCTTCTAACCAGATTTCAAATATTTGTTTTCAGTAAAACTTTATATTTTTTCTTGTATTTTCTCTACCCTAACTATATGGGGTCTGTCAATTTGACCAACCTCGTAACCACCATAAAAAATTAGGAAATAAGTTTAATTATACTTTTTTTCATTCTAGAATGACTACAAATTATAACAAATGTTTAGTCTAAATAGCTTAAATCTCATAACATTATACATTTATATATATTTATTAGTTTTATTATATTAACCTTTCAGTCGTGCCTGAAGATGCAATGACATGGCACACGTGCACTCATGTTACCATATCCAATAATATAAAACTGACCTTTAGACTTTACAAAGTGACCTGTCTTGGCTGTGTTTTAGTGGACTAGTATTTTGTAAAATAGTCTTATTTCAGTTATAATACATTAAATATGTATATACATTATTACTATTTACAAATAAGTTCTTAAACTGTTTTTTCTTAAAACATAGAACAGTAAATAAAGAAGTATAGCAAACTATTATCTCTTCTAGTTACAAACTTTGTACTTGTTTGCTGCAAGTTGCTAAGCCTTGTCAGATTTTGCATGTGGGGGATGTGAAACTAAATGTTTTAGGTTTTATATATATACATTTGAAATAATCAAAGATCATAAATTACTATATCAATACTACAGAATTCTACTATAATTAATAACTAAGCTGTATTTGGGTTGAAAAAAATATGAAATTTCAAGCTCACTAAAGACACCTTACCAGCATGAAGATTTGTATCAAAAGAGCATAGTAATGTTGTAACACTTGAAAATAGCTGAGAAAGCCACTGCGGGGGCATTGTGAGCTTTTGATTGGTTATTCACATCATATACAGAAGTAAGTGTGTATTAGGGATCATTTCCAAAAATGGAAAGAGGTGAGCAGGGCCACTGTGTTTGATTCAGTACATGATCGATATCTCAGCACTTTCACACCAAAATGGGTGCAGTCTCCTTCAAGGGCAAAATTGCAACATTGAATCAAGAAAATTATAGAAAATACACTTGAAATTATTCTTCCACAAAATAAAAATAAATTCACAGTCACAATAAAAAGTGGTGTACAGGCATTCTGCACTATCCATATTAAGCCATACTGGCGCAATAACTCATTATCATGGAAAACTGTCTGTTTGTGGACACATCTACTCCTAAATGATTTGACAGATCCAGACCAAACTTGGCATGGTAACTTAGTAGTCCAAAAGCAAACCAAATTCATATTTAACTTACCCATATATTGAAAAATAACATTTTATAGAATAACTACAATATCATTACTACAATAGCTATTGTAAATAGTTGAGTTTGAAAAAGATAGTGAATAAAATTTCCAGCATTTTGACTTCTTTCCCATAATAGCCAAAATACAGTAATAAAATATCCAGCAATGCAAAAAAAAAGATATTGCTGCTTTTTAAGTTTCCCACTTTTCTGATTCACACCATTTTACTTCCAGTATACTATGGTTAGAATGAGCTAAAGCCTGGAGTATTTTCATAATTAAAAATTCTTTAGGATATTTCTTACTTTTTGTTTATCAAATTTCATGCATTAAATGTACCAAATTCAGACAGTAGAAATCTTGACCACCTCTACTGTGAAATGGACTGCTTTGAACAAGAAGTGACACAACTGTTTTGCCATTTCTGCCAAGTTTCTTGACTTGACTGCTACAACTCCTCACTTCTTATCCACAATTTTCTTAGAGAACAAATGCAACTGAAAGTCCAGGCAGAGATTTAGCTTTTTTTAAAAGCAAATTTGTGTGTTTTAATGGAAAAAAGACAGAGTGCAGTTTCCTTAAAATACCCTGCAAAACTATAAGACATTTAAAGTGCATTATAAAAGCTTCAAAAAGAAAGCCCATTATGGACTAATAATTCACTTTTACTTGCAGACTTTTTCAGCTCTGTCGGGCTTTCAACAAGGGCAGAGCTCGGTATGCAATTTGCTGCTCAAAATATTGCACATCAACTAAACTTATCAAATTTTATAAACCCAAACAAAAATAGCAAATTCTGATATTAGGTTGATTTCAGCACACTCTGAATCAAAATAATTAATGTTTATGAATTTCTTGAACTTTTTTCTGAGCTTAATACAGCACCCATAGTCCCCTGGGATGAACATAATTTGAATCTAGTAACTTTAATACAAATGTAGTTTTATCAGTTTTAGCCAAACATTTGTGATGTAACTGTGGATAAATCAGCTGTGAGAAGTCATAGGCTAGTGAACTAAACATGCAATGAAAGCTGCTTTTCTGTTCTTTTCAACTATATAAGCCAAAATGGCTTCCAGTTCAATGCAGAGATCAGAAAAAAGTGATAACATCTTAGTTTGGTATGTTACTAATAGAGAAAACATTTGTGGTCACTTGTGCCACAATTAGTCCTGGTTTCTTTTTAAAGCTTGCTTTACCATTTTATACTTCATTTGAATAATAGAGTTGCAATACATACAAGAAAAGAAATATTTTCCCAATGAACAAAATGAGGTAGGCTTAGTTAAACCATTCTGCACTCAATGATATCAAGTTTTGTTTTGCAAACAAAGCTGCTGTTTGTTAAGCTGTGTTTACATTAGACCTTACTGGCTTAAGTAACTGCTTAAGTGAGCAAGAAAATGACAAAAAGAAAGGTAAAAGAAAATAAATGAATATAAAACAGATTTAAAGCATGTTACATTCTTGAAAACTTCTGATGAACAACTTAAGTTAGCTTGCTTTATAATTTTGGTATGGAAAATTTTTATTTTATGCTAGTGGTAGTAAACAATAAAAGCAAGTGTAGTATTTTTCAAGTCAAGAAAAAAATAATATTTACTGTTTTATAAAATAAAATTTCATAGGAAAGTTTTACAAAAAATGTGTAAAAATCAGTAACTTAAATGACAACAAAGGTAGGCATTTTTTATTATTTCCTTAAAAGTATCACAATGAAATATTTTCAAAATTTCAAAGCTACAAGTTCACACAAATATCACATTTGAAAATCAGACATTTCAAGAAGCTACATAATCATATGAAAATCACAGAGCTATTCAGAGTTTGAGCGCAAATAACTACATTAAATAAATTTTTTTTTATTAGAAATACTAGAAAAATCTAATTTTTTTTTCTGTCTAAAACTACATAATTTTAGGAAGTTCTATTAAATTTGAAACAAATTCATCCACTAATTTTATTTTTGGAATGATATTTAATGAGAGCAACATTGCCTACACACGATGTCCTGGGTCTAACAGGACTTGAATTTAGAAATTTGCCAGGTCTTATAGGGTTAACCAAGTTACGATTGGTAATTAGTAGGCCTACTTTTTTACATGCTTTAATGCAAATCAATGCCAAATTTGGGGTCTGCTTTCAAGGAATCCCTGTAAAAGTTTGTGCAAAATACCCAAGGTTCTCTAATGGGTTGGGTGAAAAATTTTACTATTGTGCAAACCTCAGAGCAGAGACAATTTGTTCAGTACCATTCAGAAGTCAGTGCAACCAATAGTTTAAGAGTTACTTTACACACACACACACAGAGGCACTTAATCTTATTTTATATATATATACATATCACTTTCTTGGATTTTATTTCTACTTCAAGTTCTAAGTATCAAGCCCAAATGTAAACATAAGATACAATTTATTTAAATCATTTAATGCAACACAAACTGACATCAGTCTCTGATTTACAAATAACAATGTTGGATGTTGAAAGAGAATGTTCAATACTTACTTTGGTATAGTCTGATCTACAAGTAATGAGAAGGGATGTGTACAGAGAATATTCAAAACTTACCTTGGTATCAATATTAAATTTACTGAGATCTCTAGACTCTGTGGCTCTTCTGTCTCCATGTGTTAGAGCTCCCTGTAGAATTTATAAAACATTAATATTTTAACGTAAATTACAAGCATATTTCTGGCATTGAATGTAATTCCATTTAAGGCAAAAAGATTGATACACCAATACCATCAAATGTTATAGTTACTATCACCTATCTACACAACTAGGGTTTATTGAAAGCTAGAGTTAACTAATCCAGTTTCTTTGAATATTTACAAATTATTTCACTCTTGGATCAAAACTTAATTTACTTTGAAACTGTAGCTGTGTCTCATTTCCTAAAACAAGTGGTTCTAATTAGAAGTCAATATCTTCAAGCATCTTATTCTATTATGTGAACCAATATTAGTTGTAAATTATTACCTAGACATTTTGTCTTCTTTAGAAGTATAAAAATAACTAGCATACTAAATCAAAAGTATTATATTGAAAGATATGAAATTAATTGGAAATTCATAAAAAAAAAAGTCTTCCTATAACTTATTTTTTGTGATCACATGAGCAATGCTAAGATGCACACCCATTCCAGTGATAAACACAAAATATGAACAGCCGCTTTATCATTCCGTGCAAGATCTTTAGAGAATTGAAAATGAATTAAGATTTACAGTTCCATATGTACTAATCAGTTATTTTTCTCTGGTACCATGTGTCATATATATGAAAAAATTGTCCAGAACTTGGTTGGTTAAAACAATAAGCTTGATTAAATCAAGACCCTATATGGTATCAGTTTACACTTTAAAAACAATTTACCATCCTTAAATGCCAGAATACATTACGTCTATGTAGTAATGAAATACCACAATATTTTTAAAAAGCTTGCATTTATAATAGGTTCACTTAAAAAACTTCATGCGTATAATCATTGGAATTCAGGAGCATACTGTTCATAAAACACCAGTACCTTAAACTTTTTATATATTTTACTTCCAAAAGTAGGCTATGTCTATATAAAGCAAACAATGAGTTTAAGAAATATTTTCTTACTCTGGTAAGAAAGATATTTTTGAAAATTAACTGAATGGTAAAACAAAACCTAAAAGACATTTTTAAAACAAAAATCCCTATGTAAACACATCTTTTGTTCACTGCTACAATCAACTGTTTGCAAGTAAAAGTTTGAAGACATTATGACTGGGTAATGAATAAAAGTATTATAAATGTACAATGTTTTGACAATATTATGTTTATCATCAGGTACAGGTAGTTTACATAGACAGAGGAATATACATACACACACAGTATGAAATAAAGAGGTCACATGACTGAAGATTGCTTGACAGTTTAATAAAGGTATCTTGATACCCTAGGGTGTTGGATTAGAGTAGGGCTATTCTGTTCAATTAAGATAGCTTCCTTTATTTTGATTTTGCTGATGTTTAATTCTTTGTTTAAAATTACAGTGTTCTGCATAAATGTACTGTAGTTTATTGAGTTGCAATGGTGGTAAACATGGGAAGGTTTATATTAAGTTTGGTGAATCTGGTTTCCATATCTGGTTCTACATCGAAGAAACCAGATTCACAGAACATAATAAAAAAACCTTCCATGTTTACCACAATTGAAACTAAAAAAAACCACAGTATAACTAAACAAAACAATTTTAAACAAAGTACCAAACATCAATATATACAAAATAGAGGAAGCTATCTTAATTTAACAAAATAGCCCTACTCTAAACCAGCATCCCAGGGTACAAAGGTTCCTTTACTAAGCTGTTAAGTGATCCCTAGTCATGTGACCCCTTTATTTCATATTGTACGTATATTCCTGTGTCCATGTAAACTACTTGTACCTGATGATGGCATAATAAAGTTTTCCTCATCACCCATTCAAGCTGTCTCCAAACTTATTTCCTAAAAAGTAGGCTCCTCTGCATCAAATATTGAGTTTTTTCTTTTTCTTAAATCATATACAAGATATACTAATGATTTCTTCTTTTAGACTCACCAAACTTTCCAATCTTTTAGCTACAATTGAAGCAAACCTTCTCTCTCCAGCTAGGTCAGAGATAAGAAACAAATACTCTGGAGCACTGACCTGGTTAGATCTGTGACTTCGACCTATATTGAAAATGATGGATTAAAGATTCTTTAGGAAAGTGGCTTTGACCAGCAGCAAATTATACTAGTCTTTACAATCTGCAGTTAAAACATGCAGTGATATTATAACAAAGAATTTATCCTAATTTAAGACCTAGTTTGAGTTATACATTATAAATCTTTAATCTGTCGCTTTAATATGCAGTAAATATTCTATTTAAATATACTGACACAAATACTAAACTATCAAATGTCCTCATGCATTGGAAGCAATAATCTGTTGGATGATCTACTACTAGAAGGAAAATATACCAAACTTTCAATATTGATGTCTACAAGAAGAAAACATATATGAAACCATTTAAGGGTATGACTCAGCATCATTATTTGAAAGTCAGCTCTAGCTAAAACTGTTTTGCAAATGGTATCAGCTACCATATGTAATACATCTTGATAAATCATTCAATGCTTTAAAGCAAGATAATTTTCTATGCACACAGTTACAATTAAAATGCCCTAAGTGCCTCCTGAAGTTTGTAAAAATCATGATTGCACTTCCACTGTCATTTCCAAATGACATGACATAAAGCCATAATATTTAGCATACAGTTTCTCTGTGAATAAGTATGATATTAATATAATAGAACTGATATGTTACCAAATTTTCATATTTCATTTGGAAAATATCTGGTTTGAAAATCATATTTGGAATACAATGCTTCTTTATTGGCAAATGAACTGATATTTATGTAACATTTTTATATTAGAATCATAGATTTGATAATTGTCAACCATTATAGATAGATAAGTCACTAATCCTTATAAATATAATAGAAATCATAGAAATAATGATACCTATCATATTATGAACTGTTAATTGCCTCGAGTCCTTCTCATTCGTACAAACTAAACTGTCATTCTTTCACTCGATTTATTCATTTTGTGTAAAATGTCATGAAACCTTTAAAAAATTGGCTCTCACTGTGGGCTTGGTCAATTTGACCTAAAAATTAACATTTAGCTTCCATACTATAACTTCTAATATGTTTGTGCATCTTCACAAAATTTTGTGTTTTCAGTAAGCATTAAGGTTCATTTGTAGACGAAAGTTCAGAATTTTTATTGAAGTATTTTCACTAAAAATTTCTCCATGAATATATGGAGTTAAAATGTTGAAAGCTTCATGTTAAGATTAAAAATTATCCTTTTTTTCTTTCTAGAATGACTTCAAATTGTAACAAACTACATTTATTTATCCTAAATAGCTTTAAACTCATAACGTTATACATCTATTTATATTTAAATTTTATTGCCCTTTGAAATGTGTGTAACTAATATTATTGCCACACACACATTAATGGTACTACTGCACTATATAGTTTTTCTTTCTGGAATGACTTCAAATTGTAACAAACTACATTTATTTATCCTAAATAGCTTTAAACTCATAACATTATACATCTATTTATATTTAAATTTTATTGCCCTTTGAAATGTGTGCAACTAATATTATTGCCACACACACACACACACACACACACATTAATGGTACTACTGCACTAAATAGTTGTATTTAATTATCACAACTATCACAATTTTTATGGCTTTCTAACTATATGAAAAGAGCCATTAAAAATTCAGTTAAGCTCGTGGGAATAAAATTTCAACCATAAGAGAAACAAACAATTCTCTGTATAGCAAACAATGTCATATAATACATCATTTGATAGATTAAAACTCTGGCTTTCTATTAGTTATAAATAATATAGTATTTAACATCACAGAGAAGTATTGGCAATTTCTGAAAGAGAAGATGTGACAGTTTGGTGTAGCCAAATAAGATTGAAGGCTACAAAATTATGCTTTGGAACATCTCGGAGGGGTGATAAATAAATTAGAGAAGGGATGCCTAGAGAAAAATGTCAGTTCTCATACTAGAGGAAATTCAGGATTTTTTTTCTTTTAATACTATCTTATAAAATTAGAACTTAAAACTTATATAATATTAAAATTTAGATTATTAGCTACATTTTTATGTGAAGTTTATTCATATAACACAATAAGTAAGTAGCTTAATTAACTTTTGAATGTAACTCAGTAAAACCTCGTTATATGCAGCAAAACTCCATCTATTAACCCTTTGACTACCGTGTACTCTTTAATTCTCTCACTACGAGGTCAGTAAAATTGATCAATCTCATAACCACTTTGTATTCATTATAATTTCCATTTTATAACTTTTAATACAGTATTTGTTCTTTCACAAAATTTAAAAGACTTTCTGTAAACATTATGTTTTTTGTAAACAAAAATCAGATTCTTATAATGATGTATTTTTTTGCTAAAAGTTGTTCATGAATATTTAGTTGTTTTTTTTTTACTAGTCCGAGTGCTAAGTGATTTCCATGTTAAGATTAAAAATAATTTCTTTGTCTTGTAATTTCTAAAACCTCCTAAATAAATTTCAAAACTTCTTTTCCAGTAAAACTTCATATCTTATCTGTTATTTTCCCTATTCTAGCTCAATACAAGATTGGTCAATTTGACTGACCTTGTAACCACCAAAAAAAATCAAAATAAATCTAAACACACTTTTTTTCTCTCTTTCTAGAATGACTTGAAATTATAACATGCAACTACATTTGTTTGTCCTAAATATATTTAAACTCGTAACAGTACACATCTATTTATACTTTATTTTATTATTTTATTGCCCTTTGAACTGTAACTAACTACAATTCTTGTCATTATAAGGTGTAAATCACTTGGCGAATGTGCAGCTCATGTTACAATATCAAACTACATTATGCACAAGCTCCTTGCATGCATACCCTGTGAAAATTCTTTATTTTATTGTTATTATTATTATTTAATTTGCTTATCTAACCTTACCTAACTTAAAAAAAGTTTCCTATTTTTACATTTTAGATACTTTTATAATAATAAATACAAATTACATATAAAAAACAAGAAATAATTTACTTTTCTGGGTCTTTTTCTTTGCTATCGACTGTCAATGACTTAAACTCGCTTTATTATACTAAAGGAAATATTTCACTAAATAATTTAATTAAATAATGTACCAAAGAACACAGAATTATAACATACAAAAGGGAGACAGTGCTCCATAACTATCACAATTTTTTTGGCTTTTTAACTATGTAACAAAAGTAGTTAAAAATTTATCTAAGCTAGTCGATGAGTTTCCTGTTGGATTAAAGATTGAACTGAAATCGAAACTGACAATTCTCTGTATGTCATATAATATTTCATTTCATATAGTAAAACTTTGGCTATAAATAACATAGTATTAAACATCAGAGAACAATTGGCAGTTTCTGAAAGAGAAGATATGAGAGGTAGGCATAGTAAGAGGGGTCTGATTTTCTATTTCATGGCTCTGTAACCAAATAAAATTGAAGACTATATAAATTAAGCTTTGCCTGAGTGATGGCAACATTATAATGAGTAAATTACATTAAGTTTTGTACATCTTGGAGAGAATGTAAATAAACTGGAGAAGAGGAGATGCCTAGAGAGAAAATGTCACAATTCTCATACTAGGGGAATTCAGGATTTTTTAAAATATTGCCTTGCAAAATTAAGAACGTAAACCTTATATGCTATTAAAATATGGATTATTAGCTACATTTATTGCTATACTATGAAAAGAAAGTAGTTTAATTAAATTTTGAATATTACTCACTAAAACCTCATAACATGAGAAAAGATACTCATGAAAATTAGGGTTGAACTCCTTACTGATCATACCACAAAGTTTTACTGAGTTACATTCAAAATTTAATTAAACTACTATACTATCAACATACTTTATACCTAAGTTTTAAATCCTTTATTTCAAAAAAAAACCTTAAATACTTAAGCTTCAGTTTTGTTGTCATGTGATAAATCTTAACTTTTGATCACTATTACTTAAATAATATTCCATCTATAGTGTGTGTTTAAACTCAAGACTATGCATATAGGACTTTTTACCTGTCACTTGTTTCAAATTCCTTTGGATCAATTCAGAGAGCAAAGAAATAAATATTCCCTCCTCCTGACAGTAGCCACGCTCACCTTCTATACTTAAGATTTGAGACTTACAAGCTACTTGTACATATTTGACAAATGTTTATAGCCAACCGAAAAAGCTAATTTTAAAGTACAATATCTTAATGGTTATTTTAAAACTGGCAAGCAGTATTCATTACTAACCACCTCAAACAGCAGAAGCATTGTTTGCTGATTTTGCCCTTGCTAGCACTTAGTGTTGATTCTCACCTGGAGACATACTAGTTTCATAGTTAAATTGCATTATTTAGGTTTTATTTATATATGTTTGAAAATTCATATTTGAAAGGTTTAACAATTTTTTAAAATATAACCCAAACTTTGCCTCGGTTTGTGAGGCTTACATTACTTTGTGAATGCAAGAACGTTTTGTTAAAGGTTAAAACATTTCTGCTGATACTATAATATGGCCAGGAGGCAAATGTTGATGTGTGTGTTAAGATGAATAATAAATGATAAAGGGCAGGAAAGGAACATAAAACATTAAAAATAAACAAAGTGAAAAGGGAAAGACATGAAATTAAAGATATATCCCAAAGAAGATATTTTAAGATTATTTGATGAAGAGTTAAAAGGTATGTACATATTCAAATTTCTTAATTTCAAACATTTTATTGCACTGTACATTGATGTTAATAGCTACTGTTAGTGATATGGTAGAGAAAATGACAAAATATAAACATATACCTTAAAAGAACTTTGATATTCACTTAGGAGGTTCTAGAGGTTATGCAAATGAAAGTATTTTTACACTTAACATGAAAATCACTTTGCACTTGAACTACTCAGTCTGAGTGCAAATAACTACAATAAATAACAAAGTTTGAATAGTAAAAATCAAAATTAAATAGTTAATTTTTCTGAAACTACACACTTTTAGGAAAGTTCCTGTCTAGTTTCAAACAATTTCATCAATTAGTTATATTTCTGGAATGAAATATGACGAGTTAGATTATATTCTCTTAATAGAAGGATGCACTAACCAAAGTGTTAGAAGGAATAACACATACCAAACTGTTGAATGGCTCTGTCTGCACTCCATGGTAACTCAAGAGTAATGTGAACCCTTCGTGCTTGGTTTTTGGCTCTTCTGTCTGCTTGAAGGGAAATGCCTGAACTAGCCGCTTCTGAGATGATGGCTATATGCTATATTGAAACAAAAAAAATTTATCTCTATTGAAACAGCCTCTCAAAATATAAGAGAAAACTGATTTAACTCTTTACTTATCTACAAAAGAAATGCTATATTTCTATCCAGTGAATAAAGAAAACCAACCTTTTCACCATCCATAAACCTTTGTTTTTCTGTGATGTTGAGTGTTTCTACAGGGACATCAATTTCAGACCGTGACTCGTATTGAATAGAACCATCATCATTGCTAACAACTCTTCCCTTCCTACCCGTCATCTGTCAAAATAAATAATTGCAGGTGATAAATAACAGACTTCATTATTCATGTTCCTTAAATATATAGTGCTACCAGAAAAAGACAAAACATCTAGACCATTACACACCGTTAGTAATTATTATAAACAGGAAAAAAAAATTAAAATTTTAACAGAGAGTAGGGATTAAAAAATAAATGCTGCAATAAAAAGTCCACAAACAAGTAAAGTGATACTAGTTATATAGATTTTAAGATGATTTTCAATACCTTCTTTGGTTGGCATTGTGATTTGTATAGCTAAATGAAGTCTAAATTTTTTGAGGCCAGTTAAGATCAAATCATTAGCTATCAGAGGGAATTCACACAGAATTTGTGATATCAAGAGCAATTAACCTTTCTGACACTCAGATTCAAAATTATATTGAATTACTATTGTATGAATAAGTTTGGTATAAAATGTTAGTGTAATACATTCACAACATTGTGTGCCACCAGTGGTACATATACATGTTTTCTGTTTGACATCGTGAGCCAACCATGATATATAGCACCCATAAGATATGACTGTGCCTCATATCTCCAGTCTTATATGAAGCATTTATTTTATATGGACGGCTATAATAAAGCCACACCTTCCATCATATACTATTGATAGAGCACATTTGACAATTATCTGAAGCATAAAAGTAATTTTAATCTTAAAATCAAAATTACTTTGCATGTTGGATAGTCAACATTCAACATTCATGAGAAAAACATTACTTAAAAAATCTTAAAACTTGACAAAAAAAGTGATATTTTGCATACAAAAGCCTTATAATGTTTACTGGTAATCTGGAAAATTTCATGAAGATACGCTTTCTGTATAAGTTGTTACATCATGAAAACTATAAAAAAAACAAAATGGTTATGAGGTCAGTTAATTAATCAAATTTTAATAGTAAACAAATATTAAGTTCTTAATATTATAAGGAAATATTCAAAAAATCCTCAATCTTCCTCTGTATGAGAATCTTGACATTCACTCTCTAGGTTTCCCCCCCTTCTCCAGTTTATTTACCACCACTCTCCAAAGTTTGGAATTTAATGTAAATTAGTCATTACAGATATTGCTAAGGCAAAGCCTAATTTTTATAGCCTCCAATCTTATTTATTTACAGAGTAAAACTAAAAAACCAGACCAACATGCCATGCCCATTTGTCATGTCTTCTTTTTCTCAAACTGCTAATATTTCTTTCTGACATTTTATACTAAATTACTTATAACTAATAAAAAGGAAAAGTTTTAATGTATCAAATGACATAAGTTGTTTTCACTACCAAGTATTGTCTATTTCCTCTTCAGTTTGAAAGTTTTTCTCACAGCTTTCGGATCAAGAAGCTTTGAGAAATATTTTACGGCTCTTAAATCATAGTTAGAAAGCTAGTTAAATTACAATAGTTATAGGCCAATGTTTGTTTGTGTGTTGTTCTTCTTTGTTCTTAGGTGTATTATTTAACCCTATGGTTACAGACACCTGTGTTGTGCTCATGCCACAAGATTTCACTTTGTTACATCAAAAATTAAGCAATCATATGATCAATGTATGCCAATGAAATTAGCATTAAAATTTATATTATAGTTCAAAGTTACATATTATCCAAGTTTTAATTCCTTTATTTAACAAAAAAACAGTTTGATGCAAAAGTTCATTTCCAGACTTTGTAGCTTACATACTTCTTTCAAGATCCTTAGGACACGTTTGGAGAAAAAATAAATTTATTGGAACTCGACAGATACCACGCCCACTTTCTACACACAGTTACAATTTCTCAACCAATTATACTTAGTTGAGCTAGATGTTTATATTCAATAGAAAGACCACATTTTGAAATACAATCTCTCAATAGTTATTTCAAAATTGGCACGAAGAATTTCACAGAGAACTTGTCAAACTACTCTTAGCATTGTTTCTGCCTTTATCCTTGCTAGCACTTTAGCATTATTTCTCAATTATATAAATGTTACTTATATAGACAATTAAATTGTACTTAGGTTTTAGTTTTATATTTTAGTTAATTATGTGTTATGTTTTAAAATGCACATTACAAAGGTTTAATTTTTTAAAACATATACCAAACTTCCTTGGTTCATCAGGCTTAGTATAATAGGCAAACACCACCACAGAGGAGATTGTGCCCATTAAAATTTCGTAAGAGGAAAGGAGATGGCAATTGTTCAATTAAGATCACCAAAGTCTGCTTGATTGTAATCTTTTCTTGGTGACAGGTAAAGAGAACAAACTGTGATGGTACAACCCATGAAGACATGATGAGTGCATACTAGTGAATCAGCAGTGCAACACTTCCATGAACTTATCAATCACACAACCTGTCATTCCTGTACAAGAAAGATCACTGAAAGGTGACAGCATTGGCAGGTCTGAGGAATGTTTCCTGTAAGGAGAGCCACACAAGATGATAGGAAGCAATCAAGGCCTTAATTATGTCCAAATTAGAATGGAAACCTCAACAATTCCATTGTATCAAGGTGGCCATTTTATTTCTGACCATAACATTTTTGTTTATTAGAAAGAAGTCTGTCGACTACCATAGATCCTGCCCTGGGTCATTTGGGTAGATCTCTGTTAGATGAAGGAGGTTCCGGTGATCAAGTATGTGACCAAATAACAGTCCTGCATCTCAGGACTGATGGAAAGGGACCAGAACATTCACTTGATGCTGAGGTGGAGACAGAGACAGAAGTAAATATGGACTTGTCAACTCCTTTATCCATGAAAAGCAAAAGACTCTTGATATGATGAGAGAAAGACTATGGGAGGAATGGAAAGATCTGTCTGCATTCCCACTGTGGCAGTGGAATGGAGTGCAGCAATACTAGTCCAAAGTAAGAAGGACAACTTCCATGCCTCTATGTAAAAAAGTTGTTTATAGTCCTTATAGTCATGTACCTCTTTTTCTTCCACCCACTCAGGGCAAGAATGAAAGTATGAGGGATGGGAACCATTACAGTTAATGCAATATGGGTCCAACTGCAACTCATAGCTGTTGTGGACTTTGCCACCATAAGGACACACAACAAAGAACCATGACAAGATGTCTTAGTGTGTTCAAACTGCTGGCAGTTCAAATAACCTGCCTAGACAGAGGCAGGTGGTTGTGGAGATACAAACATCAAAATAAAACTTGGGGAGGCTGCATTATCCTATCCTTACAATGGGAGAAACATTGCACAGCAGAAACTCCCTGGTTGAAGAAACCAGCAAGAATCTCCCACTCTGGGATGGTAAGCAAGTCCCTCTGAATGGTCACTCCTCTTAATGAATTCAGAGAAGCACTGGAAGTAACCTCAGTAGGAATATCCCCCCAATGGACTTTGATTTCAAAAGGAGGTCACTATGTTGTGGCGTAGATGTTTCGACCAAGATGTCTTTAGAACGTAACATTCTGACTGACTCATAGGAGCCAGCAAGCCCCTCTAGCCCATTCTGGATGAAAAAGGGAGGCATGTACTGTAAAGATTTGTCAGATATAAAGAATAAACAATCAAAAAGCAAGGTACAAGAATAGTCTGAGATGGTGACTGTGGTCATTTTCCAATGAGTGTTTTTAATGTTTTATTTCATCATTTTGGTATTTAACTATGAAAAAAAAAAAATAATTCAGTACCCATAAGTGGACATACAACAATGCCAACCTAAGACAATGCAGCTACACCAGGGTTTCATGGGCACAATACCCAAACAAATACCTGGGAAGTCACTTCGCCATATCCAGAAATCCATAGAGGGGTACGATTTATTTATCTTTTAGAAAAAAAAACACATCAAAGTAAGAATATATTAGCAGGTACCCATAAACTTACAAACATGCATGTAAAGCTCTGGACTTGTGCACTTGTAGTGACTTAACCCCACTTTTCTTTTTCTCTAAGTTCATTGTCAAAACAATACAAGTAACTTTTAATTATGCATTTTAAAACATAAATAACATGTAAATTATTAAAGTAGATGGACCAAAAACACTACAATTTAACTATTTTTCTAACTAAGCTTTTTAAGGAAAGCAAAAAACCTTAAATCCTATAGACATCAACTCTGGTTATCAAAACACACCCAATCAAATCCTCTTAGTCTAACATCTATTGCCGCTAATTTAAAAAATAAACTACTGCAAACTTGAAATACAAAATAAGTTAATGCTTATTGGTTATATACATTTAAATCAAATATGAATATGTGGTATTGAAAACTGCCTTGAAATTTAAGGATAGATGGCTTCTTTCACAAGTTGGGAAAATTTATTGGTACCTCTCTCACTAAATGGAGAAGTTACAATGTCAAAACTGTATACTAGACCTATGAATTGTTCATAGACTGGGTCTACACAAGTCAGACAGTGTAGATGCTATAACATTAAAGTTATACAAACTGAAAGAGGAAAATTCAGAGTACAGACACACTGACAGATTTGTCTTAAATATTTTCTTTACAAACTAAAACTCAGATAATATAAAAATTTAGATTATAAACTAAATTCTGATGACTTCATTGACATTGACATACTTACATTGATAAAAAAGTTTAATTAAATTTTGAATGTAACTCTGAAAATGTATAAACATTATATGCAAGTAAAAGCCAGGCCTGTGTATAAAACGTTATGTACTCTAACACTAGACCAGTAATGATGCAATAATTGATAAAATTAGTCATATTATGATGTTTCACATCAGTTCCTACCCTAGAGGAATATGTCATATTATACACTGTATTAAAAAAGTTTAAGATCCAGTAAATTTTTTATTGTTCTATATCCTTTAAAACCTGAATTGTAATAAAATGTTTAAAACATTCCATAATTTTATTTCTACAGTTCTCATCAGAACAGAGAAACAACGAGATGTCACCTCATTCTATTTGATCAACTAGTACACATTCATATATGTTAGTTTCCTGATACAGTTCAAATGGAGAAAGGTTTGAAATGAATTTTTTAAAATCCACAGTACTAAATTATGTATGTACTTTAATTATTAATCTCCTTTATCCTTAAAAATAAACTGATAAAATAACTGACTAATGAATCAATTTTTATCCCCCAAGAAAATTTTACTTTCACTCATTAAGCAGTTTAAAATAACTAGCCACTACCTCTGCTACATTTTCAGGTCCCCCTAGTTCATCAATTAGTTGATCTAGTGTGTTGGGTGGCAAGCGATCACCAAATTTGTTGAGTTCTTTGAGCAACTCTTCTTTCATTGCTTGAGCCTTTTCTACAGCATCAACAGGAGGAGGAGCAGGTGGAGGTGAGTTACCTGTAAAATCATTACACATTGCCAAAAAGAATTAAATTACAATAAGCTCTGCACTGCTACTAAAAGTACTACATGAATTATTTCATCTAAACATAGAATTAAAAAATAAGTAAATGTTTTTCTATCAAAGATGTGCAATACATATTGAACCTACTAATATTAAACATTAAGGAAAAAGTATTTCTCGCATATCTACAACAGCAGACTTGACAACTCTTCTCCATCATTATTTTAGTGAAATATAAAACTAACAACATATATATATATATAAATCAACAGTAAACCTCAGCTTTATCACCATTTTGTGTCCCCTTCAGACACAAAATGTGTATTTTTACAACTAAAAATATCCAAAATAATTTGTAGTATAATTAAATATATAATACAATTTTTCCAGTTAAAACTATCCACCATGCAGATGCTTATTCACTAAGCCTAGGTGTAAAAAATGGACCAACTGTATATGAATATGGTGCACAAAGTGGAATAGTATACATATGAAAATAATGAAGTACAACTAAATTTAACCATGTGCAAAGTATTTCGCATTATAAATATACTAAGAATACGCATAAACACAGGAGAACCTAAAACATGGGCAATATTTAGATAGTATGAAAAAAATATAAAGTTGCCCTAACAATATTTGTTGATTCAACAAATTCATAAATGACAGGAAGGTTTTATGCATTTGTTTATAAATACTTTAATTATGAATGCATCAAAATGCGACTTTTGGAACACAATAAACTGTTTAGGGAATCAAAACATAATTTGAATGCTGTTTTTCCCTTCATACATTAAAACTTGTTTCATTATTTAATCATGCTTATAGAATATCTGAATATATATGATATGAACAAAAACCTTACCATTAACTTGTGATCTTGATTTATGTTTTTTTTTAGTTTTAGTTTTCTTTGTTTTTTTCCTTCTTGACTTTTTCCTTCCTAGCCAAGGACCACCTGCAAAAAACACATGAATCTTTTCTAGAGATTTAAAGCAATGCAAGTAAATGCTTTTAAAAAAACGTTTTTAATAAACTTTCTAGGATTTGAAATAACTAAAAATAATATCTACATATAAAATTCCAAAGCATTAATTAATAATAACCACATTCCACCTACAAAAAAAAAAAAGAAAGAAAGAAAGAAAGACTAGGCTCCGCAACAGAAAAATAAACATTTTTTGCCAAAACAAAGCTTTACAATAAAGTATCAAATAATCATATCTTACAACCATTATGCCACAATAAACATGAGATTAGCCTGCTGGTATTTTCAGGCATGTGAAAGTAGTCTATAACAACATAATTGACAGTCCAAAATCTACCTTAAGATCAAACTAAGGGATATTACAGCTTAACCGTTCAGAATCCAAAATTGTGCCATGATACTTACAAGTGCTGAAAAATAATTAAAATGCATTGGTTTATGGTAGTCACTCTACATGTAGAAACTAGTAAAAACCATTTGAGAACAAAAAAATATTTTTTTTTGGAAATTAAATTAAGTCTTTAATAAGTTCTTTATTGTAGCTGCCCTACATAAGTACTTTTCCAGTTACTGCTTAACAGCTTTACAAACTTGAAGATAACATCATGATTCATAAAAATTATAGTAACTGAAAATAAAATTCATAAGATGCTCACTGACAAAAATGTACTTGGATTTTGTAAAACCTTAACATAAAAAAAAAATGAGATGAACAAATAATTATATCATAAGTAGGTGAAAGATACATATTTTAGAAACCATGAAATTTAAATAAATTTATAGGTCTTTAGCACTTGAAATTATGTTCAGTGTCACAACTATAAATGGAATTTTCTACTGGGATAATTGGCGTGAAGTACAAATTACTGAATTAACCTTATTGAGACGGGACTGATGTGTCTTCGATTGATCAGGGTTCAAAGGGCATGTCATCACATTTCCATACTTACATTGTGTATATCAACAAGTTTCATATCAGACTGTAGTTTATAATTGAAGTTTCAGTATTATATATTAGTTAATTTCTTACTTTAAAAACAAATACTTGAAATCCTAAACATCAATTTTTTTGTGTGTCACTTGGTACGATGAATGCAGCTCTGATTCAAATTATATGTTCGTGGTGTCCAAATACAAAGTCTATAGTTTCTTAGGAACTAGAAACTAAAATTAGTGATACTGATAAGCTAGAATATAAGATAAGAACCTCCTATCTTTTCTATTTTCTGAGATATTATATTTAGAAAATCAACCAAGGTGGCCCCGCCCACCTCTTCCATTTTTGGAATTACTTGCTGACGTACACCTACTTCACACAATGATGTGTGTATAACCAATAGAAAGCTTAATGCCCCCCCCCACATGATTTTCTCAGCCTCTGCGAAGTGTTTACATGGGGAACTCTCTTTTCTATGGTAGTATTGAAGCTGTAATGTAGGACATTATGGAGCTACAAAATAATATATATATATATATATATATATATATAATTTTT